GGCTTCCCATCAGCACAACTCATTGCAAAGTTGGCTCGGTCGTCATCGTCGGCTCCATCGTTCACAAATTCCAGCAAGGCGTCCAATGGTCAATATTCAGGTTTGTTTTCAGTTTCTCAAATCCCTTGACTAAGACATTCGATTCGAGGCTTTGTATTGAAAATCGTGAGTTTGATTATAATCTGTCGTATCAGATTCTCAGAACGCTGTCCACAGTTGGATTCTTCTCGTTTCGACGCTCAACCTTTTGTTTTGGGAAACGTTGGACAGGTGTCGCCTGAAGCACTAACCCTGAGCATCAATGTATTTACATATTGTAATTTATTGTGCTTTACTCGCTAAGCTGGTCTTGTCGCTCATATTAAGATCTAAATGAAATAAAATCAGTAGAAAATTCAATTGGGAAACAAACGAAGACAATAACTAGGAGTTCTGGCGAATTTCGAGAACAAATTGTGGAGTCGGTGACTTCGGGCATTTAGGTGAAAAGAATTAATATTTCCGCGTCTATGAGGCGAAAACGAGACAAAGAAACAATAGAATACAGTATAACGGTATTGCTGATTTTGTCAGAGATAAGGAAGCATGTTATTGTGTTGATGCGTGGTTTTATTTTATTTTTGCAGGAATATTTTGTTAGCGTGGATAGTAACTGTGCCTGTTGCTGGAGGAATCAGCTCTCTGCTCATGTGGCTGTTCCTTTCATTCGGACTCTGATGAAAGCAGCTCCGAAATATACAATTTTTTGTTTTCCTTCGCGAAGGAAGCTGGAAGAATTAGAAAGAGGGAAAAAATACGAAGCTTTCGTTACGCGAAAAAGATTTTGTCAAAAAAGGAATGTTTGTTTTCCTGGTCGCTATTCGAGAGATTCTTTTCGGGATGCGAAAAAAAAGATTAGCGGGCCTCTTCACACTTCTGACGCCACAAAAAAAAAATCAATGGAAAGCTCTTTTTTTTTCGAGGCGAAATTCGTGCGGGATATTTTTCGAAATGAGAGAATTTTTTGGGAGAAAAATTAGATCTAGTGAAAATGGGGTCCGAACAAGTTTTTCCCTTCGTTTTGTTCGCTGCTCGTTTCTTCTCTGGTCAGATTATTTATTTCACTTCATCCGATTGCAAGTGTTAGCTTTTCTTTTTTTGTTGCGAAAAGTCCTGTGGAAAACGGACGAAAACCGGTGGAACTACTCCAAGCACTTCATCCAGCAGTTGATGGATTCAGCAGAAGATGATGATCTTATTTCTGTTCATTTTTTTGTTGTTCCCGATGATGCCTGGATTTTTTAGTACATATCCCGTAAGGCAGAGAAATGAAGATGAAAGCTTTGCGGAAACCTCTGCAAAATGAACGCATGGTATTCATTTTTTTTTTGTAAAATGAAAATTTTTAATAAAACAGACGGGGAGTCTCTTTTTTTTTACAATAACCACAATGACTTCCCTTGATCAAATTGACGGCAAATCAAATTTCTCTCGTAAAACAAATCAGCACGAGTCGCGTTTCAGTAATTCATGAACATCGCTATATCCACAAATTATGGTTTGAGAAATTCTTGCATTCGAAACACAATCTTACACTTCGACATTTTTTTTTTTAAATAAAAACTCTTACTGTACAAATTCGAAATGCGCCTACGAAAAGTTTTTTTTTTCAGCACATCTGGGTTCAATTAAGATGGTCCAATTTGAGAAAAATCAAATTTTGTCCAAGTTGTTCCGAGGCAAGAAAGGCGGATGAGAAAAAGGGGTCAAAGTCCACAAGTTGCACAGCAGCCAGACTTGAAAACTTGATATTTGCAAAGTCTTGCCTGGTAGATCATGTAACAATTGCGAGCAGTGTCCTCGCATGCATTTCCTGAGGAATCGTCGTCTTCGTTCGGCACTGAAAGATAAATTTAATGGCAATTATTGAATTGATGGACAATTTTTGAAAATGTCCAGGATATTACTTGTAATCTATCTATGTTTTCCTGAATAAATCGGAACATATTTTTGATAGTTTCAGTTGCTTTTTATCGGAAAATGAGACTAAGTGAACGTAATAAGTCCTTGCATAACTCTAGCATTATTTCTGATGCTGCTGCCTCGAATATTCGAGGGTTGTCCCACTTGGGCGCAACCTCGGTTATTTCCAGTGTAGGTAGAACTGTAATAAAGAATAATGACTCTTTATATAGCCAATGATGTTTCAATAAGGTTCTGGAATTTTTTTTCGGATTTTGAGGGAAAAAATTCCAGTTTATTGCATCATGTCCCGGGAAAACTTCCAGTTACGGATGGAATTCTCCACCCATGTCACAGGTTGAAAAAAATTTTTCAGGCCACATGATAATTTTAATTTTTTGTTATTTAAACATTATCTTTTCTTCATTTTTGATAATGTTAAAAAAACAAAGACATGTCAATTTTCAGCTGTTCTGACAGATTTTTAGTACCCTGTGAGTGAAATTGAGGACAGATGTCGCCTCAATATAATTAGGTGTAAAGCTGGATTGGAAAGAGTAAGTATTAGGTAACAAGTGAGACGAAGCGTAAATATTATGTGCCGAACAATAAATAGTTCGCCCTATTGCCATTTCTCTGCTTTCCTGAATGACCTCCCCCTGAAATACCAGGACCTATATTTTTTCCATTGTTAGTTTGAAGATACAGTATCTTCATTACCCCATCTTCATGAAGGTGATCATCTTGTAAGAAACGCTTTTAAACCTGTGAACAGCCTGCAATTAATATGCAATTCGTGAATAACCCAGAAAAATGAAACGAGATTTGACCCCAAGACGCATAAGAAAAATAAAAATAAACCAGAAACCTCGTGTCATTCATACATAGAATCAAGGAAAAGGAAAATTTCCTTCTAAATATCATCAACCTTTGGGATACCCAAGAAGATTCATAAAGCGGTTCCGCCATGAAGAAATTTATTTTTTAGAAAAGGCTCCGTGGATCAAAAACATAAAATGAGAGATTTTTTTTTCTGGAATTTCACAAACCTGCAGTGCTGGTTGTTGAAGTGCTCGTAAGAATACTCGAACTTGTTCTAATCCCAGGCTGTGTGTTTCTGATGGAATCTTCATTTCCCAAATCTTCATTCGCTATCAGTCTCTCAACGACTGGGTGGAAAATGGCTTCTTCTTCTGCCCGAGCAGCGAAATTTTGCGTGCTTCGAGGAGAGCTGTTTTCAGCGACAAAGGGCTCATCAGCAACCACGTGAGAGTTCATGAGGCAACCAAAGTGGGACATTTCTTCTGGGCTACAATCCGTACTGTTCCTGGGTTTCTTTTCCTGGGGGCATTGGGAATCAAGCACGATCCCGTGCTCGTCGTCGAAACAAACGGCCGTTCTCTCTCGTTTCCTGCTTTCACATGAGCACTTCCGGAGAGAAAAACGAGGAACGAATTCGGATGCAATATTTACTCGTAAATGCCTACGATTTTATTTTAAATTAGGCTATTATACAATCTGTGTATTTTATGAGGGATGGTTGATAAGTTTTGAGACTTTTGAAATCGATCCAACGGAGTTTAAACCAGTGTTCTCCAACCCGTGGTCCGCGGACCGACGCCGGTCCACGGAATTTTTTTTGCCGGTCCGCGGGAAATTTTCTCAAGCATGATACATTTATCAAAAGTAGCCACGAGGGGCAAAGTTTCAGTGTGGTTATCTAAAAATTTATTGGCAAAACAATGGCAGTGAAATTTCTCTCATGAAAAATGAGCGCTGGTTTTTCTCCTAATATAACACTTCAAGACAAATTTTCACCTTGTGAAAATGAATTATTTTCATTTTTCATTCTNTGGGGGGGGGGGGGGTATTGAATTACCTCTGTCCATGTTCCAGTGACCCACAGGAATTCCTTTTCACTGGATTGGGTCTCAGAGCAGGAAATATTGGACACAGTGTTGGCACAATGGGTTTCCTCTTTGGGTTTCCACTCGGGATCACAATCCCCACCGAAACATTTCACTTGACGCTTCCTGAATGCCCCTTTTTGATCATTTTGACATGAAGTTGGCTGCGTACACTGCGGAAGACACACCCAACACACATCAGATGTTTATTGAAAATATTCGGCAAACTCTTTCTTTAATGCATTCGAACATCTTCAAATTGAATTACAATAAGGTACCAACGAAGAATATTCGAGTTTGGGAGGTTTCGATTCAAGGAAACAAGTATTTTTTTCTTGGAGGAAAGACAGAATAATTGCATGAAATCGTAATTTGTGATATTTTGGGCCTTCAATTGATTTTCAAATGAATTGACAGGATGGTCATGATGTTGGAGGCAAGGGTTATTTACCGATTGGTCTTTTGCTTTCAGTCAAAACACATTGTTGAATTTGTATTGCTTTCCTCTTTCCTGTGTCAATAAAATAATAGCCAAACTGTCTGCAGAAAATTCAATTGAAAAAGGTTTGAGGGGAAAGCCTTCGAGTTAGGGAGATTTTTATACATTTTTTCAAAGATAATTCAGACAGTGACTTGAAAAAAATTGACATAGGGAGGTACTGTATTTTATTCAGTTCATCGCGATTAAAAGTTTTTTTCTATAGTGGGTATTTTGAGTGAAGATGATTCTTTCTTATCCCAAAAAAGCTGACGATAAAAATGCTGGATTACCTTTACTGAAAGTATATTTTTCGCACGTTCATGTTTCGCTTGTGATAATCGTCGCGGTGAAAGTGAGAGTAATTTTTGCACATGAATTGGCCATCAAAAACTCATCAAAAAGGGGAAATTTCGGTATACTTACAGCTGAATCATCCCAGTCCGAGACAAACCAGCCCTTGATGTTGTCAACGAATTCCTGGTGTGCCAAAGTGACGAATCGGTCAGAAGAACAAGCATTTTCCGAACAATTTGTTGTGTCTTCGGGTCTAGTCTCCATATTGCAAACAGCCGTCCAGGAACCCGTAGAATCATTTGTGTTACCACCAAAACCACAAGTAACTTCTCTTGTCTTGAATCCGTCTCCACAACTCGCACTACACTGCAAAGTTTAAAAAAAACGCTAAAATAGCATACATCAAGGGAAAATAAATGAATAAATTCAAGATCGATTCTATCTAACGGAACTTTTTTTTTTTAGAAATCTTCTCTCCTTCCTTTGAAATATCGCGATGGAAATAATTAGTTATTTTAGCTTTCAATATTTAGCCTGCTCGAAGAGCATCTCAACAGCCGTGAACAAAAATGAGTCTTCCATCCGGATTCGGTAACATATCGTGAGACCTTGGAAGCTTCTACAAAAGACTGCATAAGACAGTTTTAAATCTCTCTAGTAGGTGTCGCTCACTTCAGACCACGGTCCGACAACCCATGCGTCGCAATGCCGCAATAGACACGCTCTCAGTGTGCTTTCTGGTTTCCGAGTATTACATGCGTGATCCGGTCTATTAACGATCACCATTGACGTCATACGTTGTTTGCACTCCCAGGTCCGTTCTTGGACTCCAGAGTCGCAGGGTTTGCTGCATTCACCCCAGTCTCCCAGCATCCATCTGCATCGGAAAAATGTTAGAATTTGATGATTCTCAGAAAAATGTGTCATTATTTTTATTTATATGCAGACATACAACCTCTTCAAGTCGGATTTCAAGAGAGCAACAGCAACATTTCGTTAGGTAGGTTTCAAGTTAGGGAAATGGTCATTTTTGACGGCGGGAAAGAAGTAGGAATCACAGGATATTGTAATTGGTGGCATTTTGTGCCTTGCATTGATTCTTTAATGAGTTGACAGGATGCTGAAATTGGATGCAAGGGTTCATTTGCACAAGTCACCTTTCAATTCCTTTCAAAACACATCAAGATGCGTTCTTATTGATTTTCATGTGTCAATGTAGCCAAGACGCCTCCAGAAATTTGAGTTTTTTAGGTTTGAGAGGTAAGCCTTTGAGTTAGGGAGGTATTCAATGCATTGTTTCCAAAGGAATTCAGACAGAGACTTGAAAAAATTGACA